GCATGTGGTGATTACTGGAAACCCAAAAAGCAGAAGAAGGTGATAGACAAGTCCATGAATGTTTTGGCAGACTGTCTGTATAAGTCTTTCCTAACTTGGTGCTCTCCATATGTTTTGGACCAGTCCTCATTGGCCCTGATCAGCATGACCAGTGGTCAAGAATGCTGGAAGCTATAGTCTAAAACATATGGAAAGTACCATGTTAGGGAAGATTTGTCTGAATAATGATAAAAGAGGACCCAAAGTAGAATGAAATGCTAAATCTGAACAGCGACAGAAGACTAGCTCTGCTTGTTACTAGCATTTTTAGCCAGGCTTTCTCTGTTAATACTGAACAAAATAAGATGTCTTGTGTTACAATGTCTAGTATAAGTGCAATCTGGTTTCTAATTTCTTGGTTTCAATCCCAGCTGTGACCCAGGAAAGAGATGTGGAAAACCAGGAGAAATATACAGGATTTGCACCATAGCCTATCTGATAGAAGAATCAAATTATAAAATCTCAAAGGGTTGTTTCTGTGTTTTTACCTTTAGAAGGGCCAATATTCCTCCCTCCCCATAAAAAAGATTAAGAGAAACAAAAATGAACAGGGAGAATGTGCATGTTCTCTAGACCCTGCCAGTAGAAGATGAGTGGGAAACTTTCTGTAGAGGGGAGGCCCAATCCTATATGTTACACAGTTGCTCAGATCTGTCCGATTCTGATGAGAAGGCAGAGGGGCAGGCAGATGACTTTGCAGTTTCAAAACTACATAATGAGAAACAGCCCACCTCAGAAAAGGAAGGAGACATTTCAGAACTGGATGAGGAGCAGATAGAAGGGAAGTTCCTTGATGCTCTGAGGGGATGGCAGGCAATGTGGCCAGGCTAATAAAGAATGTTTCCCCTCTCTTTCACTCAAGTAGAATTAGCCATGATGAAGGTTGAGTCAGGAGCTTTTCAGAAGGAGGGGATGTTTCAGTTTGGATTTACCTCTTTACATGGGCAAATGGTTCTCCCACATTTCAAGAAGAATGCTACTTTGATTTATACTTCACTGTGACCACTTAAGTGCAAATAAAGGGATTGTGCTTCTAAGTTCTTGTCTCAGTCTGCTGGAGAGGAAAGGTGGGAAAGAGAGACCTGCTTACAAGTTACACCATTTTATTGGTGAATTAGGATATAATTAAACTGGAGTGGTAGTTGCTGTCCTGAGACACTTTATGCTTGTGGTTGATATTTTAAGCTACTATTTTTAAAAGAAGTTAATCTTTTATCTACTAGGAAAATAGGTGGAAAGGGTCACCTTTGAGTTCTTTCAGGCACTTGCCAGTGTATTCTACCAGCTAAAGTATCTTCAGCAATTGTTAGAATGTTCATTATTTCCTTTTACTAAATTGCTCCAAAGTCCAGTTTAGCTTTTCACATTACATGGCCCCAGGGCCTCTTTTCTCGATTCATATTCGACCTCTGGCTCAGTTTGCAATGTGCTGTTCATGGCAGAAGTGAGGGGGAAGAATTCTAACAGTCTTTTAGTTGTTTTAAATTTTCTTTCAAAGGGAATAATCACAAAAAATGCTTAGCTTGCCCTCTTCCTTAGGAGAGGGAGCGGGAGAGAGCGAGCACTCTATAAATATCTAATGCTTTAGTATAACCGTATTTCTGCATTCCATGAATGTCAAAGATACTTAACAGCTCCATTTTTTCTTTTGCTTATTAAATAGTTCCCAAAGGCTGCTGTGCTGGTTTATTCTCTGTGCGCTATACAAAATGCTAATACTTCTACAAATGGAAATTCAAACATTAACGTATTAAACATGCTTCTACCTGACAAGCTTCCTCAACTTTTAAACAGTTTAGAATTATGAGGAACATTTGTTCGTTTTTTAAATGTTTTTTGTCTAGGAATTCACTGTGTTCATACATTTGTATGAGCTTAGCATGTTCATACCTCTCAGAATAGAAAGTAGATCTGAATGCAGCTTGATATAATTTGTGAACCAAGAATAGCTTTTGAAAGACATATTTCCAAAAAAGTGCATGACATAGAAATATCTGAAAAATTCATGTTACAGTTAATGGGAATGGTATACCGCTCAAATGTGTACATTTAGGAAAACGTTAATAGGAAACCCATGCAAGGGCAAAAACCCCTGTCTATTATGCACCTGAGTGGGAATGAACTTTGAGGTGAAAATCAGGGAATTTTGATTCGTGCATTCCTAGATTTGTCAGGAGTTCCTTAATACAAAAAATGAATGATACAAGAAGGCATAGCACTTATTATGGACATCCTAATACCATGCTTGATTCTACTTAAAGTGAAAGTATAAAGCATCCACTCATTCAGTCAAGAGTAGGCTAGGTTCTAGAGAACATGTGGGCAACTTGGGACCTTCCACATCGTAGTAAAGGAGTGTGTGCTAGAGCTATAGTGAAGTTAGTGAAGCTAGTACAGCAGTGCTGAAGCCTATAAGGAAGGTGTTGCATCATCTCTCTTTTGTAGTCATTTGGAGTTAATGCCTTCATTGGTTGTAGCATATACCACACCCAGCTTTGGGAAGATATGAGTGCGATCCTGCTCAGTTAGTGCCTTGCTTTTCATCTGCCTCTCTTTACATTAAGCTCTTCAACAGACCCGGAGGAAGTAACCTTCTCTATTTAGGTGGGGGGTTTTGTAAGCCACTTTACAAGCCAGAATTGTTTCAAGGTAGGATATGTCACCTAAACACAAAAGTACCTATAAAAATGTTGGTCCTGTACTGAACCAAAATTAAATTCAAACATTAATGAATGAACATAGGTGAGACAGTTCCTGATACATAGATAATGGTTTCAGATGTTAAATTACAGGCAAGGCATGAACCAGAGTTTGCCATTATATATGAGTTTGCTAGAGGGATGCAGGTGGCGCAGTGGTTTAAACTGCTGTGCTGCTGTGCTGGTAGATCGAAAGGTCGCCGGTTCGAATCTGCACAAGGGGGTGAGTTCCCGTTGCTCCTTCCCAGCTCCTGTCAACCTTGTAGTTCGAAAGCATGCAAATGCAAGTAGATAAAAAGGTACCACTTCGGTGGGCAGGTAACAGTGCTCTGTGCACCTTGGTGTTTAGTCATGCTGGCCACATGACCAAGGAGACTGTCCTCAGACAAACAGTGGCTCCCTCGGCTGCCTCCTAGAGTCAGACATGTCTGGACTTAACGTCAAGGGGAAACCTTTACCATTATGAGTTTGCTGGTTGTGGTTAGTGAAGAGCAGGGAAGGGAGGAGTGAGTCCATGGGCCCATGGCAGTGTTCCTGTTACACCTTAATTGAGCCTCTGTGTGACCATCTCTTCTAGTGAGGGTTTTAGTCCTGAGGCTTTCAACTTTACTGGAGCAAAACCACTAGAGAAGATGCCATGAAATGCTATTCTTGTTGAAAACATAGTTCAGACAAAATCAGAGAAATAATCACTGCTGCATCTTGTTGTTTATTTTATCCTTTTTTCTTACAATGAACTCAAAATCTTATTCCCACAAAAACAACCCTTTGAGCTGAGAGTCTGTGACTGGCCCAAAGTCACCCAGTTGGCTCCATGATTGAGTGGGGCCTAGAACCTAGATCTCCTGAGTCCCACTCCTGTTCTCTTAACCACTACACCGCAATAGCTCTCAGTTGTTGTGGGGATGTTGTTATATAACATCAATCTGTACATATTGCATATTTCAGCAGTGAAGTTGCTGAAAATATTTACAAAGAATAATCAGAGCAGAACTTTCAGTTTACTTCCAGAGTTATATTGTATGAATAGCTCTTTGTATTAGTTACTGATAGCTCTTAAGAAATCTTCAGTGGACAGAATCACTAATTAGGATAGTTAGGCAAATAATTGCTAGTTCAGAAGTGTTTCAAAAGTCATGTCTTCATATTCCCTTGCTATTCCACAATTTGGAAAGCTGGGACATAAATTTTAACAATATGCTGAGGTTAAGTTTTGAAGCAGCCCAAGTCAACTTTGAGGTGTTTTAAGGAAGCCCTGATTGCCTTGGAGCTGCAACTTTGAGTGCAGGCTTTGTCTGAACAGTATGCACAACATTACAGTAGATTGCCCTCTTTCAGTTAATCTTTCATCAAATAAGTGATGATTGTTGAATAAGACATTTTTCCTTCACAGCTTTCCCTTCATAGTAAATAAGAATAATAAATGTGTGTGTGTGTTGTACTGTGCTGTAGCAGTACAGGTTGAAATGCATTATGTAACAAGGCCCCTAATTTGAGGCAAAAGCATGATGGGTGAGTTATGTGCCTGTAGTCACTAAAAATTCTGATCAGTTTGGTAATTGTTCAAACAACCTTTTGCAGCTGTTTGAATTAACTGTGCAGGTAGTGCTTGCAACAATTATAAGAAAAGCTGGAAGCAGTAATTATCATGGGCTTGGATATATGAGCATAGCAGCACCCTGTATTTGCTGGCTCAGTTACCTTGTTTTCAGTTAACCATGGTTGACTTCTATGCAAAAAAAGTCACAAAGTGCCAAAAAGAAGTTGTAATTGCTTCCTGTAAGCAAAAATTCTTGATTTAATAGGGAAAGACAAAAATTGTACACTGAGGTAAGAATGAACAAAATTGTGAAAATGTATATAGTATATATAATACAGTGTTTGCTGTTAACTGCAGTTTCAGGCATCCACCAGGGAGTTTGGAACCAATCTGCACAGATACGGGGGCTCTGCTGCCTTTGTTTGTGGCTTCTAATACAGATTTAGACTTGGATTTAGACTTTAAAGAATAGATTTCTGAGAATCAGCACAAGAATACATGGGCACTTTGATAAATTAGAAATTGTGTATGCACGCAAACATTTTATGTATATTTCAAAAATCTTTCATCTCAAAACTTGATATCCTTTTGAGTCAGCTTCAGAAAATCTAAACAATCCTACTATGCGCTTGTCTATTTTTGAGTGATAGAAGAGAATGTCATAACTTGTTCCCATTTCTGTTTCAGATCGTGAAGACCAATCAATTCTTTGCACGTAAGTAAATATATTTTGAGCACCAACCAGTGTAAATTGATGCGCAGCTTACTTTTATGATAGCAAAGTGATGAGGTCTAGTTTGTCCTATAATTTTAGGTGCTGTTTCTAAAAAGAATTAGGCAAGAGTTAATGTTTAACCACATTCATTGAATGGCAGATAATTACTATCAAATGTGTATTGCAGTTGTGTTGCAGGAAGCAGTCTTTGGCATTAGACACTCAGAAAGAATTAGACCTGTTTCTGACATAAACACAGCCCATAGTATGGGCTGAATATATGTTGTTGAAATGTAGTTTGTGATTGAATCATGAGCTTTCATTACGAGTGAACTCTTCTACAATTTAAGTATGGGTTGTTAATCACAACCATCTCAGAGGTAAGCCCCCACACTCAATAAATCATGGTTTCTCTTCCTGGGTTGTTTAACTGATAGTCAAAGTATAGTGTAGAGTTCACATGTAGGAACAACCCACAATTTAACAAGAACAATTTTCTGTGTGTTGTGATGTTACAGTGTCCAGTGCTTTCCTGCTCCTTCCTGCCACTGGCAGCTAGTGATGTGAAGCAGTGATGGGGAAATAGATCATAGTTGTCTCATAGGACAGGGCAAGTTCTATTGAACATTGTGGGGGAAGAATTGAATGCAGATGCCTAGCACAGTCATGACTAATGTAGGGAGGTAGGGTTTAAACCTTCATTTTGCAGACCCAAACGCAGGCACGATAGGATAGTTGTGGTGGCTCCAATGGACACTTGTAATTTTCATTTGCTTGTTTGTTTGTTCTACTAAGTATATCATCAGATATCAAGAAAAATCCCTAAACGGTCCCTAATTAAATTTCTTTGTAATAAAATAGAAGATTGTACTTGAATTACTGATTAATTTCAGGAATTGCGTATTATTCTTCATGGTCTCAGGGCATTACACACATAGCTTCCATGTTTGCATGGAGCCTTCCTTGAGGAACTTTCTGTAGTTGAGAATGTTTTGGCAGAAATCCTTCCGCCACCGCTATTACTTCTATATTCCAGAGAGTTCCATCCATTTCCTTCAGCTCTTCATTGCCATTTTGTTAGCCTCTTTCCTTTACATGTTCTCTAGCTGAGCCAAACTTGTTATCTCCTTTTATTTTCCTTTATTTGCTTTCCATTTCATGATTGTTCTCTTGTTTTGCCCTTGTTTTGAGGTTTTTGGACCTTCTCAGGCTGTATGGCCCTTAAAGGCCTCCTTAGAAAGTGTTTGCGGTGTAGGAATAAGCTTACAGATACTTTCTGTGCCTTTCTGTTTTGGTGAGGGTCATATTGTCAGCTCTTTTCTGCACTTCAGGATCTTAGAAAGCAACAATAATTAAGCAATTCATGGCCACAATCCAGGCGTATCCAGCTGACTGGTCAGCAAATAGCCATATACTAGCTTATCAGCCTTCGTTGCCAAATGTCTCTCTACAATTCAGGGGTCAACCAGTGTTACCCCTCTCTGTAGCTGATGATTAACCTTCAGACTAAACTCTCATTGATTTCTTGCTTTATCTTTGTCTTATCCGGAAACAGTTACAGGGGCACAAGATCTTTCCTCACAATCTGAAGACCTGGGCCTTTTCTCTAACCAAATACTGTGCGTAGCCCAGTCATTAGGTCTGGAATCTCAGCAAGCAGCTGAAAAGTTAAAAAGCCTAGTCTTCAAGTGGTTTTTACTGAGATTTCCGCAGAAACTCCTTTCCCACCAACTCCTCTGGAGACTGTACAGCAAGCATGGGAGGTTTTGTACAAAGTCCAGAAAAAAAAATCAGTTTCTTTCTTCTGTCCCTCCTCCCCCAAATTCCATCCTGGTTGTATCTTCAAAATCTCACAGTCCCCACTCCACGCCATTTGACAGGGAAGGCCATTGCTTGGATCTAATGGTACAGCATATTCATTTCTCTGTTACCCTGTTGTTCTGTTGTATTCTTACTACATAAAGGAAACTGGTTTGCTTCTATAGATCTGAAGGGTATGCATTTTCATATTTCAAAAGAGGATTCATACCAATGCTACCTTTGTTTTGTAGTAAGAGGTAAGCAGGGTGGATTTGATTTAAATCAAATTATATCACAATTTAAACCACTAGTCAGTAAGGCTACATTTAAATCATGGCTTTCTACATAATTTGCATGCATGCCTGCCTTACCCATAGGTAGAGGAACGTCATTAAAATATTTCCAAACTGTAATATTTTAATGGACCTGCTGCCATTATAGATTTTCTCCTCCTGTGAAACAAAAATATAATAAACCTCAGGCTATACAGAAAAAGTGATCCAGAGGATATTTTTGGGGAGTATTTTGCTTAAAAGGTTTAACTTTCATTTTTGCTTCTTGTATAAATCTAAGTATTCCCAAGAGTCTTCTTCTATTCATCATCATCATCATCATCATCATCATCTTGAAACTTGGCACATAAGAGGTAAGGGGTTGATTCTATACACAGATTTGCAAAGGAACAATGAGATTAAGGTCTTTTTTCAGCTATATATGTTTATTTTATAACATTTTGCTGTGAAGAAAAGGCATGTGATCTCTGCAGTCACATATTCACAGTTTTGAGAACTGTAAAACCATGCATCTGTGACACTAGCTTCTAGATAGAAAAACTGCCCAATAATCTTACAGAAACCTTTGGAAGAGCATGGTATTGTGAATGGGTTAATGGAATTCATTACCAAAAAATGTAAACATTACATGAATATACAACCTTATGCTACATAATTAAAAACTAATCCTTATTTCATGATGAACAACCTTTGGGCTATAATACATCTTAAACAGAACTCTTATCTTCTGGGTGGTTCCTTTCATTCCTCCAGATAGATTTTTTTCCCCTCAAGAAGCATTTTATTTTTATAAAATCCAATTTAATTTTTTTTAAAAAATCATTGATTTTTATCTACCCTGGAGGTAAAACTTCTGAATTTTCTGGCCTCCTTTTTGACCTAGTTACCACTCCCTGAGTTTTTTTGAAGTGTATGAGAAAGGCTTGTTCCCACCTCTACTCGTAAATACAGAGATTGAGTTTACCCCTGCTTAGATGTGAATCCTCCCAAGCAGAACTTATTGCACTTCATTTTAATTACCTGCTCTCTGATGGAATCTTGGGCATTGGAGAAATACAGAAAAAAACATTTCTTTCTTAGGCAATTCTGTACAGTTGGAATGTCTTGTCTCTTACCTTAGTCAGAGCTTACATACTGCAGTTCAGATCATCCACTCTAATCAAGCTCATGATCAAGCTACAAATCATATGTGTGATTGTGGTGTTCCAAATTCAGCACCTTCTGAGACTATAATGGTAGCTGTGGTTGCAGTTGTCCCACTAACCTGGCTTTGTTTGAGGCTGTTTCAACTTTGGTTTTTCCATTCCTTCAATTGTTGCTATCATTTGTTGTTACCTATGGATCCCAAGTCCCATCCAAGTGATTCCTTTCTGGTAAATGTCTTGGACCAAACTAAACAAATAAACAAGGGTGCTCCCTTCATTCCTCCAGACTATCAAACACCATAACCACAGATTCCTATCTAACTGGTTGGGGACCACCCTTCAGACCCCTCACCATCTAAGGTACTTGGAGCCATTTGGATTCCAAGAGGCACATTGCCATACAAACCTTCCTGCATCTTTCATTTAAACTGGACATCATCTCTTGGGATCATAGAACATCCTGATGGTCAGAACCTCTGCCTGACAGCCTGGAGATTTCTTCCCTAACATTTCCTGCTGCTCTTCCTAAGGGCCTTTGCACCATACTGGATGTGGCCTTCTACTAAAGTCTTATGAGGCGAAATGGAAACCCTTCTTGCTTGCATCATGGAAGGAATTCAATCCATACCGATACCCAATGGAACATATACGTTGCTTCCTTCATTGCTTCTCCTAGTGCAAGCTAAGGACTTCTTCTGTTTGTGCCTACCAGGCCATCTCATGAGCCAGTGCAGTGTTCCTCAGTTGTATCCCTTTCTTTGCCTGACCAGTTCCTTTACTTGTTGTTCTCTATGCCCTGATGGCTAAACCATTTGAACCTATGCTAACAGTCAACCTGTGACTATAGTCCTGGAATTGCCGTTCTTGTAGCAATTATGTCTACTTGTCCCAATGAACTCTGTGTGCTTAGATTTTCATATTCATCAGGACACTGTCTTATTGCCTTCTTCACATCTTCACCTCCACTGCTGGAATCTTCTGAGAGACTGAATGGATCCACATGTGCTGAATTGCAAACAATGCTGCAGTATTAGCCATCACTGGACAATTCTCTGGGTCCTGAGTTGTTCTTTTTTTGCAAGTAAACATCGTTGAAATGTCAAGGGGATTTGCTGAAATGACAGCAAAGCTTCTTGGTTTTTTTTCCTGATCTTTGAGTTACTTTTATTGAATGAACACTGTTACGGAGTAAATAACCCTGATCTTTGAGTTACTTTTCTTGAATGAACACTGTTACGGACTAAATAACTACTATCTCCCATATTGCAGAAGGATTGTTAAGGGTAAGAAGTCATGCTTTCTTAGGCCATACAGTATGTTGATGGCTGAAGTGGGATTAGAACTGGGAAATTCACAGTTCATTACTCATTCATTTAATGGTCATGCTGACTTTTGAGCCATCTTGGTGCAACTATTCCCATGACATTGGATTGGAGTGAACTGAGAGTCCAAATATATGATACAGATGACATCTAGATATAGCCTAGTAATCTCCAGCTATTTAAGGGATGCAGCAAGAATAAGGCATCATTGTGTGGCTTCTTTGCCTACTGCAAATAATTAGTGATATGAGTTTTCTGGATAATAATAGAGAAGGATAATTGACCATATTGGTAATTTGCAATTAAAATATTCAATTAAAATTTGGAACATTTTCTGATTATACAGCAGGGGTCCAAGAACATTTGGGTTGGTGGGATAATGTAACATTTTGAGAGTTGCAGGCTCTCTTCAAAGTAGCTGCTTATGGGGCTGAAACTTG